CCATTTATTAAAGAGGCTATCTTTCCTTCAGTAAGTGTGTTTGGTTCTTTTGTCAAAGATGAGGTGGCTGAGTGTGTCTGGAGTTGTTTCTTCATCTTCTCATCTGCTCCACTGGTCCTCAGGTCTGTTTCTTTGCCAGTACTAGGCTGTTTTTATTACAGTAGCTTTGTAGTATAATTTCAAGTTGGTGATTGTGATACCCCCTACCTTGTCATTCTTGCCTAGTATGGTTTTGCTATTCTATGCCTCTTCTTGTTCCAAATGAATTTTTGGATTGTTTTCTCAAGGTCTGTGAAGGATGCTGCTGGGATTTCAATTGGGATAGAATTGAATTTATATACCAGTTTTGGAAATATGGCCATTTTCACTCTGCTGATTCTTCCTATTCAGGAGCAAGGGGTGTCTTTCCATTTTTTTGATATCCTCTTCAAACTCTCTTTTCAGAGTGCTATAGTTTGCAGAGTAGGGTCCTTTGATTTCTTTCCTTATATTGATTCCTAGATATTTCAGTTCTTTGGATGTTATTGTGAAAGGAATTGTTGGGCTATTTCTCTCTCAGTGAGTCTGTGGTTCATTTACCAAAAAGATATTGACTTTTGTGTGTTGACCTCATATCAAAATACTTTCCTGAATTTGGTTATTAAGTCTAGAAAATTTTGGGTGGAGTTTTTAGGGTCCACTATACAGAGTATCATGTCATCTACAAATAATGACAATTTGACTTTTTTGTTTCTTATCTTTATTTCTTTGTCTTGTCTAATTGCTGTGGCTAATGTTTCAAAAACTATATTGAAGAGGAGTGGTGATATTAGACATTGTTGTCTTGTTCCTGATTTTAATGTGAAGGATTTCACTTTTGACTATTTAGTATGATATTGGCTGTTGGTTTTTCATAGATGGCTTTTATCAGATTGAGGTTGAGTCTGTCTACTCCAATTTTTTTTGTAGGGTTTTGTCAAATGGATGTTGGTTTCGTCAAATGCTTTTTCTGCATCTATTGAAATGATCATATGGTTTGTTCCTTGGTTCTATTAATATAGTGTATTACATTTATTGACTTGTATATGTTGAACCATCCCTGAATCCCTGGAATAAATACCCCTTGGTCAGAGTGTATAATTTTCTTGGTCTGCTTGCCAGTATCTTATTAAGAATTTTTGCATCTATGTTCATTAGTGAGATTGGCCTATAGTTCTCTTTTTTCATTGGGTCTTTCATTGCTTTGGGGATCATTTGGGAGAATTGCTTCCCTTTCAATTTCATTGAAGAGTTTAAGCAGTAGTGGTAGTAGTTTTTCTCTAAATGTCTGGTAGAATTCAGCAATGAAATCATCAGGACCTGAGCTTTCCTTAGTTGGTAAGCTCTTAATTAGGTTTTCAATTTATTGATTGATATTGGGTCATTTAGAATTTTTAGGTCTTCTTCGTTCAACTTTGGTATTTCACACATATCTAGGAATCTGTCCATTTTTCGGTGTTTTCCATCTTATTGGTGTATGGGTTCTCCGCCTAGGTATTGATGAGCCTTTGTATTTCTGCTGGGTCTGTTTAATGTCATCCTTTTCATTCCTAATTGCATGGGTTTGGGCCTTTTACTTCCTTTTTTTGTAAGGATGGCTAAATGTTTGTCAATTTTGTTTATTCTTTCAAAGTACCACCTCTTGGCTTCATTGGTGTTTTGTATTGCTCTCTTAGTCTTCATTGCATTGATTTCTTCCCTGATCTTTATAATTTCCTCCCTTCTATGGGCCTTGGGATTGTCCTACACTTCTTTATCTACAAACTTGTGAATCAGCATTAGGTTGTATATTTGCACCTGTTCTGTTTTCCTAATGTGAGTATTCACCGCTATGAATTCCCCTCTTGTGACTGCTTTCATTGTGTGCCATAGATTCTGATATGTTGTATTGGCATTGGCATTTAGTTGAGGGAACTGTCTGATTTCTTCATTAATTTCCTCTGTGACACAGTGGTTATTCTGAAGTGTGTAGTGCAGTTTCCATGTGTTATGAAATTTTTGTGATTTCTTTTGCTATTGATCACCAATTTCATCACAATATGGTCTGACAATATGCAGGGGATAAATTCAATTCCTTTACACTTACTTAAACATGCTCTATGAGCATGTATGCAGTCTATTTTAGAGAATAACCCATGTACAGCTGAGAAAAAAGTGTGTTTTGATTTTGTGTGGAGTAAAACTCTGTAAACATGTTAAGTTCATTTGCTCAAGAGTTTGAGTTCTAGTATTTTATCACTTATTTTTGTCAATTTGATTTATCTATTTGTGAGAGTGGGGTATTAAGTCATCTACTACTATTGTATTAGAGTATATAAGATTTTTCATGTGCATTAGTATTTGTTTTATATAGTTGGGTCCACTAGTGTTTGCTGAATAGATAGTAATGATTGTAATCTCTTCCTTTTGGCTTGTTCCCTTTACAAGGATGTAGTGTCCTTTGTTTCTCTTAATCAGTGTTGGTTTGAAATCCACTTCATCTGCAAAGAGCATAGCTACTCTTGCATTTTTGGGGGGGGGTCCTTTCACATGTGGTATTGATTTCCACCCTTTAACTTTCAGTCTATGAATTTCTTTTTGAATTAAGTGTGTTTCTGGTATGTAGCATATTGTTGAGTCTTGCTTCTTGACTCATTCTGCCAGTCTATTTCTTTTGATTGGTGAATTGGGATGATTAACATTGATGGTTATAATTGATACATATTGACTTTTCCTTGTCATGACTTTTTCTTTTTGTTGGATTCTCCCTCTTTGGATTTAATTTCTTGTCATTCCTGATGTATTCATTCTGCATTGCTTTCTGGTGTTGTGACTCTCATTGTCTTTTCCAATGATAACTTTTATAATTTTTTGGAATGTTGGTTTGGTATTCATGAAATTCCTAAGTTGCTCTCTGTTAGGAAAGAATCTTAGTTTCCATCAATTTTGAAAGATACTTTTGTAGGGTACATCAATCTGGGATGGAGGTTGTTTTCCTTAAGGCTTGGAATACATTGATCCACACTTTTCTTCTATTGTGAGTTTTTGTTGAGAAGTCTGCTATGATTCTAATGGACTTTCCTTTGTATGTGATTATGTCCTTTTCTCTTGTAGAACTTTGTTCCTCTCTTGGGTTTCTGGAATCTTTATAATTATATCCATATGTGTAGATTTTTTTTTTAATCAAGGTTAGTTGGAGTCCTATATGTCCCACTTATGTCTATGTCAAGTTCTTTTCTCCTATTGGGAAAGTTTTCTGCCATTATTTCTGTGAACAGTTTTTATGTCATCTGCACCCTCTCCGGTTTCTTCATTGACTCCAATCACTCTGACGTTATTCTTCTTTGCATTGTCTAGCAGTTGATGGATTGATTTATCATGGGCCCTTGCTACTTTTAAGAAATTTTTCTTTTCCTGCTCACTAATGACAATCCTGTCTTCTATATCTGAAATTCTATCCTGCCATTGGCTCATTCTGCTCTGTAAACTTTCAATGGTGTTTTGAATCTCTTGGAATTCTGTTTGCATCTGTTTTATGGATTCTATTTTTTTCTTATGCTGGGATTCCATCATATTCTTCATCTCCTCTATTTTTTATCTGTGTCCACTCTAGATTTATTAATCATGTTTTGTACTATGGGCACAATGTCTACTGAGAAAATTTTTCTGATTACTTTTTTCCAAGTCTCCTTTTGTTGCCAGTTGAGTGAGTCCAGGTTGTGGAGTATCAGATTGTTGCTTCTGCTAGCCATTTGGGGTTCTCTTATTTGATTTGGAAGTCAGATTTTGGGACTTATTTATGTGTCTTCTTATTTCAAGAGATGCAACCTGCCATGTCTTTGTTGAAGAGACTTTTTGCTCACCCAGTGGTCTTGAATTCTTATCCAGACACTGAGCAGTGTTTACTCTGCTGCTCACCAGTACACCAATTCCTGGGTTCGGAGTGGTGGACTTCTAGATCCCTGAGTTGACCTGTTGTCTGGGCAGGCTTCTGGCTGGGGCCCAAGTACACTTGGAATGGTATCTAGGCATGCCTCTCACAGGGGCCCCTATGTATCTATTGTCTGGGAGGGCCTTTGCTTGGGAGCTGTGCACCCCAGTTTGTGTTGTCTGGACAGGTTTTGGATAGGGTCTATTCACACTTATCAATTGTATTGTCACAAGCCTCTTGGTATTGTTTGTGTGCCTGTATAGCTCTTCTCCAGTCTGGTCCCTGGCTGTGGCTAATGGAATAGTGAGACTCTGGCTGAAGTCTGGGTGACATGCAGCTTCTTTCTGGGGAGTCTTCTGGCCTGGGGACATGTGACAGAATCTCTGGTGTTGTGGGGGACCCAGCTGGGATCCACTTGTAGCCACAGCAGTCTGGGCTACACAGCTGCTCCCTGGGATCTGCACTCACTGATGGAATGGGGAGCCCTGATGTGGGGGTTTTTATACAATGGTGTACTATACTGCCACAAAGAAGGGTAAGGTTGAGACATATCTACCTAAATGGACACACCTTGAAACCATACTCTTAAGTGACATAAATTGAACACACATATTTAAATACTACATTGTTTCTCTGGTGCAAAAAACCAAAACAGTAAATACAGACCAAAATGTATAATGTATATTGGGAAATGGTAAGAAAATGTTCAAATTGGGAACTCCAATAAGGGAAGGAACAGAGGGAAAGGAAGGAAGGGATAAGAAAAAGAAGAGAATAGAAGAAAAGATGGAAATAATACTATTGTAAGTATTGAAGAAAAGAGGGATTAAAGGGAGAGCAAGGGAATGGGAATCAAAGAAGAGGAAGGATACATCATCCAATGGTACAAATTCCTTATGATTAATGTTATCATTATGTATGCATAATATATACAAATATAATAAACTTTAAAATTTT